TTTGTGACGATGAGTTGGTGAATGTTTTCTAAACTTTTATGAAAATGGTCTTTGAGCTATTTATTTTTATTTAAAAAATGGTTGAAAATTTGGAATGACATATTTTTTATATCCTTTGTACAAATGTTGTTTTTTAATATGGTTTGCACTCATGTGGTCATTGACTAATATATCTCACACAATTATATTAAAGTTAGAGAAATGAAACTTTAACCCTTTAATTTATATTTTATGCCTATTAAATTTTCACATATAATCTTATTTATTATAAATACGGTATTAAATTATATATATATATATATATATTAATTTTAACAATTTATAGCATAAAAATATCTAATTAACACCATCAAATCAATCCCAAAATTAAATATTATCATAATTATATAAATATAAGAAATTTATAAATATTATTATAATTATATAAATAAATATATAACTAATATTTGAATTGTCAAATCAAATGTTGAATATATAAAAGCAAATAAAAATGGCAAAACAAAAACATCACTATTAATATGAAAACTCTTAAAAAAAGTATATGTATGAATTGTCAAATCATTACTTTTAATTGAATAAATTTTAATTTTTAATGTTATAAACTAGAACATTTCAATGTTTCTCTATCTTTATATTTGCATTTAATTTATTTTTCATCTATATTCCAATATTGTTTTCTACATATATTTACATTTTAAATTCTTTTATATTCATCTTAAATTTACATGAATAGTTTTGTCTCAACTCTAACATAAGTTATGCATTTTTTACTAAATATATTTTATATAATGTTGACGGTTCCCTTTATTTTATTATAAAGATTAACAACAAGGAAAATTAAAAGAACACAAATAGATCTCATAAAGGTTGAACGTATTTGCATCATCGTAGTGCTTTTTGTAGGAAGCTAGTTCTTCAGAAGTGGCATTCTCTTCGTTAATTTCATGAAGTTCCTTCTCAAGGACATACTCCTTGTTCTCAAAGCGAAGGGCCATTTTTATGTTGCGCATCTAGCCATTATAGTTGGTATCATCCAATTTCACCTTTGAGCAAATTGACAACAACAAGAAGTTATGGCGGTTGGAGGAAGAGGAGGCGGGTATTTTTAGTTAGTTGACAATAACCATTAATATAGTAACCCAAAATAAAATATTAAAGCTAGGATCCAAACATATAATTCACAACTTAGAAAATGAGTGTCGTAATATAATTGTCAATTTTATAAAGATAGGTAAATAACAATTTACCAATTTCACCAGAAAATAATTGAAATGAAGTTAAATTCATAGGTCTTTTGAGATTCATCGAAACTATTCAATGACATGTTTGATCTCGGATTATGCTGACTGGGATACAGAGGATCACAAACAAGATGTGAATAACCATGCAAAAATGTGTTTGGTAACCTCATTATTATTTATCATCCTAATTGATGTGATGGTAAACCACACACACTCCATCAACAATGATAATTTATGAGATACCCATTACAACTCTTTATTAGTCCATATTAGTGCGTTGGTTAACCACACGCGCTCCACTAACGACTTATAAAGTGTAATATGCAATTTCATGGGTTAGCATACTAATTCATATTTTTCCTAAAGTAACTAGATTTGGGATTTTAAATAAAAGGTTCTAGTACTTTTAATAGCTTTATACTTATAATGAGAATTAGTTGTTATATCAAGTCCTTTCTGCTAACGACCATCCACCAATCAAGGAATTCGTGGGTAAGAGTGGACACCCATTCAACTACCATTTATAGGCAGTTTCCTTATACCTCCCTTATAGACTGGCTTTGTGAATGAGGCATACTAGCGACTTGACTAACTTAATTGTATATATAATATATTAACAATTAATACTAATACATAAGGTGTATTTTAAACTTTTCAAAATACTAAGTTTATATAATTTAAATTTTGAAAATTAATAAAAAATTAATTTAAATTTAAAAATAAACCAAAAATCGATTTAATATTTATCCATTAATTAATAATTAATTAAATATATTAAATCAAATAAATATTAACTAATTAAACTAATCAAATATTTAATCCTAATCCTAACCCTCTAATTTTCGAAAATTAGGGTGTAGGAATTATCTAATTTTATAATTATCCATTTTAATCAAATTAAATTAACAACTATCAAAAAATAGGAAACCCTAACAACCTTACCATTTTCGAAAACTTGGGGAGGAAGGCTAGGGTTTCAAAACCCTAGCCCTAAATTTCAAGATAAGGAGAGGGGCTAGGGTTTCGAAAAACCCTAACCCTAAATTTCAATTTTTTTGGCCTTTCAGGGTTTAATTTCTATAAACCCTAATTGATATAATTCAACAATTATAGCTAGTCATTTGAAAACAAACCAAATGCTCTGATACCATTGATAGGATTTAGGTAAAGCATATAAACTTAAAACCTTTAATTTCACATTCATCCTAAAAGATCTATGTTTTCACTATTGAACCTATAACTATGAACATCAAGTAAGAAACCCTAGGTATATTTTGAAAATCATAATAGAGTTTAGGATTACATAACTTGTTGTTATTATAGTAAATAATAAGAATCTTTGACTTGTAGAACCTTTGGAAGCAAGCACAACAATTGCCGTGCCTCTAGTGGTTCACACCCAAACTAGCAAGAAGGAAGGCTATAGAAAGAGGAGAATGGAGGTAGGATTTTTGGCTATCTCTCTAAGAAATGGAGTGGAGTGGCCAAAAATCTAAGGCCTAAGGGTCCTTATATATTGACACAAGGAAACCCTAGATAACCGTGATTTGAATATTAAATTAATATTTCAAATATGGTATTTATCTCATTCCTTAAATATCCACATGGGATATTCTAGAAACCCTAATATATCCTTCTAAAACCGTCCACCACCTATGTGGAAGGTTCTTGAGTCTTTTGTTCAGCTATTGAATAATTACACTGTAGACCCTGTACTTTTAATTAATTCTATTAATCCAAAATTAATTCCAATTAGTTTTTGATTAATTATTAATTAAATAATACTATTTCTAATTATATATTATTCTCATAATATATTAATAAACTATTTATTTTAATTTATTAATCACATAATAAATTAATCTCTCTCTGTCTCTGTCTCTGTCTCTGTCTCTCTCTCTCTCTCTAATAGTCATCATGTCCAATTGCTAGGTTTAAGGGCAACCCACACAAACCGTGCTACTATCAGTTCAAGTGTATACCAATTATAGTTATGAGCTTAGACACCTAATCCAACAAGAAATACATATTAGCCAATGGAGACATGATTTGGACTTTCTCTCATCTCTATTAAAACCACTGGAGACAACCACCTACACCTACACAGTGATACCCGGTGCTACCTCATGTATCATTGCCAGAGAACTCATCGTCGTCATTACTTTAGGTTTCCCCACCGAGACTGAAACCATAAAACCCGATGGAATCGATTGTCAGAGAGGCAACAAATTTTGGTTGCCGATAAAGTATTTGACTTTACGTTTGCTCCCAATAACTAGTAACACTCCCCCAAATCATCCATTTATCGTCAATTTAAGGCAATCGTCTTCTTCGGACACACAACCACATGGAAGATCGGTGTTGTTGTCCTCTAATATTACTACTAAACTTCATCACGATCTATATATCAGTGATGGCCCCCTATTTCTGTTAACACAAAACAAATCAAAGTTAGATACAATTAATCACTCCCCCTTTTCTACTCACAAAGGTGTTATTTGGTGTTAGAAAATGGTAAAATTTGTATTCAGATATTGCCTACCAGGTGCTCGATTCAATTCTCATGAAACCCCTTCACAAATTCGACAACACCGATCGCTCCAAGAAATAGCATGACCATGTAGAACGTTGCCCTAGTTACCGATAGTTTTGATGCAAATAAAAATATGAATGTCATAGCTGGATTAATATGCCCTTTCTTTTATATTTGATCACACTCATTACATTCAATGCCAAAATGTAGAGGAACAAGAAGGCTGTGGTGAACTTTGGGATACCAATTCTTTAAAATGACCATGACAACAATTCGCCTGACTTGAACAATGACTCTGGTGGTGGCTCCTTGTAGTCTTTATCGAGCCAAGGGATTTGACGATGGCAGATCTACAGGTTGTGACGATTTCTAGAATAATCTTTATGTTTATGATGTTAATGCAAGACAATTGAAATCGAAACATGGGTTAAAGAAGGTGGGTATGGACTATTTGAGGGGTTAGAAAGGTCCACAGGTGTGGCTAGGCTAAAAAAGATATACTTTTCTAATATACCCACATGAAGAATTGGAGTCAAAGCTTAAAGTGGAAATAGAGGATAGAGGATGTTGGTGTGATAATCATAACCGATTTTGAGGAAGAAGATGATATAGATTGTTGGGTTATTTTTATTTCCTTGATGGATGTGTGTGTGTGTGAGAGAGAGAGAGAGCCTATATTTTAATTTAATAAAACATTAATTTAAATAAAAAACATAAAAAGGAAAATTGGGAGGGTATATTAGTCATTTCAAATTACTAAAGGACCAAATTTGCAAGAAACCAACACAAAATGACCATAAAACTAAAAAAGTCGAGGTTCGAACTAAATTTTAAAAAAAATCATACCACATGGACCATTCTTGCGATTTTGTATTAAAATTTACCGACTATTGCAGTTAAACCGGAATTCAATATTCATCTTCACCAAAAGACACAATCGAAATTTGCAAACCACCCAATGAATTAATTCTCTCCGAATATCTTCACCAAATCATCAAGCAAACAAGGGTTTCCGGATTTTCTGTTTCTAACATCTGATTCATATATTAGCAGCTCAGCTTCAGCATTCAACTGTTTGAGATCAATCATGTGTTTGTTCTTTTGAATTCAATTACTCGGTACAGAAGTTTCTTTTTGATTTAGCATTAGGGCTGCCAGATCAATTTCTCCATAATCGTAGCGAAGATTTAATTATTTCTTAGTTTTTCGCGACATCGCATTCCAAAATCCCTAAATACATCTGGGATTCTGTGAGTTCGTTTTTTTTTTTTTTTTTTTTGAATGTTGGGTTTTGATCGGAACTAAAAATCCCAAATCGGGTGCCAACTAGATCCAAATTCGTGAAATTAGGGTTTATTCGGTTGGTGATTTGAAACCAATCTGAATGTTGTTTGATTTTCGTGAGGCTACAAAGGCGTTCTTGTTTAATTCCGAGGTTATATGCCAATGTTGGTGTGATTTTATGCACACAACATTGGATGAAATGGAGAAAGGAGTATCGTGGAATGAAAAGATAGATTAAGAAACCGATGGGCGCTATAAGGGTCCATTTTGGTATACTTCTCGCTATTCTTTCCATTTTCGAGTTTTCCGAAGGAAATCACAGAGCTTCGGAGACAGCTTCCTGTAATGGTGGCGATTGGAGTTCTCAAAATCTAGATGAAAACACCGTATGCTTTCTTTCCTCATTTTCCTTTTCATGAATTAGATGAAAAGCTAATGGAAATTTCTTTCATCCAGGCAGAGCAAGTGTGGATATATTGCAGGAAAGAGCTTGGAGTTGGAGAAATCACCAAAACTATCAACAAATTCAACCCAAATCATGAAGATATTGATACGCCATCAAGAAAAACACTTATGCATAATGCTCGAAAAGAGTTATTATCTCCGGTCAAACATGAATCTCTGGTCAAACATGTAATCCGAGTTGACTCAGTACCCAAAAACAAGCCTCCGGATCATGTGTTGCTACTCGGGATTATTGTTTCAACTGCTATAGCGACACTTGCTCTTTTTGTTTTAATGGTTTTTTGTTGCCTAGGTGGCATTCACCCAAGAGTAAGATCTCAATGTGCACAACAGGACAAAAAACCGAAACCGATTGTCAATATATCCCCCGAGGGCATTTCAGGTATAAAATTTTGTCTTTGAATCTTGATAAATCATGTTTAAAAAAATCGATTTTTTTTTTCTTCAGGTTCTTCACAAGCACCACAAGCTGTTGTAGGAAATAAAGATTTAATAAATTCTTTTAGCACCAACAATTTATCGGCAAATGTTTCTTCTCAAACACCAGAACTTGGGAAATTACCACTTCCACCAGGAAGAACCGCTCCTCCACCACCAGTACCAGCAGCTCCACCACCGCTACCGCCGCCGCCGCCGCCAGCGCCTCCACCGCCAATGCCACCGGCCCCAAAAGCACCACCGCCACCGCCACCCCGAAATGGTCCCCTCCCGCCTGCTCCACCAAAACCAGGTGCTATGAAAAAGCCACCTGGCCCACCTCTGCCTAAAAGAGGGCATCTCGCTTCTGGAGATGAAAAGGGTATTTCTGGAAATTCAAGTGGTAACAAAACAAAGTTGAAGCCGTTTTTCTGGGACAAAGTGAATTATGCTCCCAATCGATCAATGGTTTGGCGTGAACTCAATGCAGGATCATTTCAGTAAGTTTCGTTTGAGGGTATTTCAGTTTTTTGCACTTGTAATTTCTGTCCCATTCAACAAGGGGATTTATGTCTTTTTCACATATTAGAGATCAAATACGAGTATTTATGCCACCTCTTTAGACGTGACCAAAAAAAAAAATACAATTTGTGTTCTGAACGAGGATAAGAAGAAGGGTATTTATGTTTTTTACCGCATAAAATTGCAATTTTTGTCCCATTAAAAATGATAAGGACATTTATGTCTTTTCCACATAGGAGAGATCAAGAGCGAGTATCTGTCCCATCTCTGGACATGACAAAAAAAAAATGAATTTGTGATCTTATTGAGGATAAGAAGGGTATTTACGTCTGTTGCAAACAAAGTTGCAATTTTTATCCCATTAAGGATGACAAGGGTATTTATGTCTTTTCCACGTATAAGAGGTCAAGAGCAAGTCTCTATCCCATGTTCCGTCTCTTTGGACAGGAAAAGAAAGTGTAATTCTTGTCCTATTGAGAATGAGAATGGCATATATGTCTTTTACACAAAACTGAAAAATTTTGTTCCATGGTTTACGGTCAAAAGTCAAAGTCAAAGCTTTGACTTATTACATAAAAATAAAGAAGTTTCTTAAAATCGACAGATTCAACGAAGAGATGATGGAAAGTCTATTTGGTTATTCTTCTACAAACCAAAACAAGGGCGAAACTGTAAAATCCGCATCAACTCAACCAAAATTGATCCAAATTATCGATCCCAAAAAAGCACAAAATTTGTCGATTGTTCTAAAAGCATTAAGCGCGACAATAGAAAATGTCTGTCAAGCTGTCACAGAAGGTTAATTTTCACTTTCACAATTTACTAAAAATTTAAATAAACATTCTACCTTTTTTCACAATTTACGCAACAAACTGATTTTTTTTTTTTTTTTTTTTTTTTTTTTTTTTTTATATGCGAATGAATTATTATTATTAGGTAGCATGCTTCGTGTAGAGTTAATTACAAGTTTAATAAAAATGCCACCAACACAAGAAGAAGAGCTAAAGCTTCGATTATATCAAGGTGACCTGGCACTTATTACTCCAGCTGATCGATTCCTTAAAATTTTGGTTGAAGTCCCTTTTGTGTATAAACGTCTTGAAGCTTTGTTGTTCATGAGTTCTCTTCATGAAGAATCTTCTCCTCTTAAAACTGCGTTTCTCACCTTAGAGGTACCAATTTTTTTTAGATTTAAAACCAAAATGACTATTTTACCCTTTCTAGTCTTTTCACCAACCTACTTTTTCATATCAGTTTAGAATAAATTACTTATGTGCCCTTAGAGGGTGTTTGGCTTGTCTTTTTTAGAGGTAAAAATTCTTTTTGGAAAAGTTACAAAAAGTCAGGTTTTCCTAACTTTTCCAAAAAGTTATTTTTCCTTCTTTCTAAACTCCAAAAAAGACACTTTTAAAATGTTTTTACCAAACATCTTTTGATCTTTATCTTTTCCAAAAAGGACTTTTGCCTTTCAAAAAGACAAGCCAAACACCCTTTTAGTATCACTTCTTGAAGATGTGTTTTAGATTAAAAAAAAAATTACTATTTTACCCTTTTGGCATACAGGTAGCTTGCACAAAGCTAAAAAACAGTAGACTCTTCCTAAAACTTCTAGAAGCTGTTTTAAAAACGGGTAATCGTATGAATGTTGGGACATATCGTGGTGGGGCCCAAGCAATCAAACTTGATTCCCTTTTAAAACTTTCGGATGTCAAGGGCACAGATGGAAAAACCACATTATTAACATTTGTAGTTCAAGAAATCATCCAATCAGAAGGAATAAAATCCGCGCGTTCTTCAAACATTAAAACAAATGATCAAAGCGATGAATATTATCGAAAACTAGGTCTCGAGGTTGTTTCTAAATTAAGTAATGAACTTTCGGATGTGAAAAAAGCAGCAATTATTGATGGTGATCATATTACATCAACGGTTTTAAAATTAGAAAACATGTTGAAGAAAACAAGAGATTTGATCGATGATGAGTTGAGTAAAACGGAAGGTGCTATGGAGTTTTGTGAGACTTTTAATGGATTTATGGAGCATGCGGAAAGTGAGATCGTGTGGATGTTAGAAGAGGAGAAGAGGATAATGATGATGGTGAAGAGCACGGGGGATTTTTTCCATGGGAACTCGGCGAAAGATGAAGGGTTGAGATTGTTTGTTATTGTTAGGGATTTTTTGAAATTGTTGGATATAGTGTGTATTGAGATTAAGAAAAATAATGACAAGAATAGTAAAAAGAAAAATATCCCCTTGGGAAAAAGGGTACCCCCGGGCCCACAGAGTCGACAGCTGTCGTGGTCTAGTGTTCGGGATAAATTGTTTCCGGTTATGAAAGATAAAAAGATGGATTCTTCGAGTTCAGATGATGATGATGATGACATGTCTCCTTAATGATCTTAATAGGATTTTAATCTGGTAAGCTATGTATAAGTGTTTTTTTCCTTAATGCAGAAAGAATAAATTAACAAAGAAAGTCAAGGAAATGAGGCTTTCCTGTTGACTATTGAGCCTTTACATCGTCGTTTATTTTATAATTGTGTATTGCAAGTTTTATTACTTAATTAAATGTTTTTTTTTAACTTCGTTGATCCAGACAACATATAATGCAAAAAGGCTTGCTTCTACTTCATTAAGTTATGAAGATTATACGAGTTGATAAAATTATGGAAATGATGAAAGACATGAGATTGAACAAGCTTTCTATGGTTATTTATGATGACGAGGATGAGAGCATTTATGTTTTTTACACAAACGAGAGATCGAAATCGAGTCACTCACTCACATCTTGTTCCATGTTTTTTGTGTGTGAAAAAAATTGCATTGTTTGTACAATCAACATCAAACTTACTTTCAGTTCGGTGAATGCCAACTATACTACAAAGGCATTTGTTTTGTTATGTCCTACATAAATGGGGCCTACATATTGAAGAAGACGAGGAAAAAAAAATAGTGTTGGAGGTAAATTAGTTTATTTTTACGTATAACATGTAAATTCAATTGTCATCGTGTTAGTTTTAGGGTCTAAATATTCTTATTTGTAGATTCGTTTTATTTGTAACAAATCACAATTTTTCTTGGATTAGATGGATTCCATTACATGATCATTTCTAGCTTGAAATTACTATAATCTTCGTAAGACAAATATGTTTCTCATTAAAACTCGTTTGTTGTTTAAAACTCTTTCAAAGCACTTTCAGACTCTTGCAAATCATTTTCAAATACTTCCAATCACTTTCAGTAACGTTAGAGAACTGTGAACAACAAACACATGTACCACACAAGTTTTAGCAAGAACCAAGTGTCTAGAATACGTTATGGAATGCAAACATAATCCCACTTTTCGTTTACTCATAAGCTCGAATATCAATGCTCCATTCAAGTGTCCTGACCATAATTTGTCACTTCACTCATAACCTCATGAGTTGATACAACATAATTTGTCACTTCACCATGTATATGTTGCATTCATATGGGCAGATATGGGAGAAGATTATTGTGTCACATTTTTCTTTTGTAGTTGCACATTTTATTAAGGGCAAAATAGTAGAAAAAAATTCAAATTTTTTTTGCACTACTGTTCAAAAAAAGCAAGCGTTGCTGGTGTATGTGATGAACAAACTCAGTGGAGTTTGTGTAGGTGTTTGTGTGCCAAAAACTCATAAGGATATAATCATCATGTGTAACAAACAGAACAGGGTGGACAAACAAGAAAGAAAGAAGAAAAAAAAAAAACTAGGACTAGAATTTCATAAACATAAATAAGCCTATAGATTTATGACCGCAAAAACAAACATCAAGATTAGCATAAGCATATTCACAAGTCATAAACTATGGGAATCAACAAAAAAAAAAAAAAACCAGTAATAAAAACCTAAAAAAATATGACAACAAAAGCAGTAGCCAAATATATCTTCTTCATCTTGACCTTCCCTTTTCTACTTCTCTCATATAATGAGGTAAATAACCAAAAACCCAAAAAAAAATTACTTTCGCTTCTTCACCTACCCAATAATGAATTACAAATTACAAGACCTACAAAGGCAAAAGGGGAAACTGTACACAAGAATAGAAGAAGCCGCCCGATATTCCCATAATGCTTCTTTGAATGTTTCTGCCCGGGTTGGGTTGGGTCGGGTCAGGTCGGGCAGTGCAACAAATCTAGGGCTGGATTTTTCTTTTTCTTTTCCTTTTTCTTTTTCCTTTTCAAGTTAAAAGTCTGTCTGTCTGTTTGTCTGTTTATCTATCATCCATCATCGGTCCCACATGGCCTGGTAAATAGCTGGTCTATGCTTCAACCAATGCACCAAGTCTTTATCTAATGGAGACTTGTTTAATAAAGCATCCAACATCGGGCTGCCCAAAACCTTCGGGCAGCTTTTGAAAGACCAAATCTTGTCCTTTGGCCATGCCCTTTGCGGCTGCTTCTCCTGACCAAACCAAAAAAAAAAAAAAAAAAAACATAATTTCAGTATAAAATGTCTTAATAAAATGAATGAAAAGTAGATCGCTATTTCTTGCATTAAAAGACTGACCATTCTAGAAAGCATGGATTTAACAGTTCGTGGGCCATAGACACGTTGTGGGGAGGGTTTTTGGAGTTTGGCATAAAAGGAGCCAATTTCGGGCAGGGATAAGCAACCCCGGGCAGCTCTTATGAGGTTAGAATCTGGCTCTGCGTAAGCTTGGTTATGCCAGAAAATCAGCTGCCCGAGACAGTAGTTTTTCCCGTATGTTTTTCGGTATTCGTGCAATCCGGGTCCCACTTTTACAGCTGCTTTCGGGCCCAGGTCCAGAGGACTAATGTACACGGGTGGTGATACTACTGTTTCGTACTCCTACAAACATCATTTCATGAATTAAATTCAGAATATATTTATATCAAATTACAAATTTAACCCTAACTGTATTTACCCGTATTCTAAAGAAGTACTTTGTGTGAGCATAAATGTGAATCAAGTCTGCAGCAGCATCATGGCGACATTTGTAAGAACACGGAAGGTTCCGGACCTCGTCACGCAACCTTAAAAAAAACAAACATAAGTAAATAAATACAAGTAGATAGGATATGGAGTAATAAAGAAATAAAATAATTACCATAATAAAGATTTTCGAAGTGCAGTTTGGATGTCATCAGAAGAAGATGGATCATGAGAACGAATACTGGATCTAAGTTCAGTTAAATGTCCATCTTCCATATGAGGTGCAATTGATTGAATAAGTTCATCAACAAATGATCCTTCGCCTTTCCAGATGAATGAAATTACTTCTTTTGGAGTCAGTTTTTCCACTAATGGTGGAGCTTCTTTTGGATCCCCAAAAACCTTCTTCATCACATATCTCACCTGAACAAGATGAATTTATTTATATTTTATAAAAAGAAAAAAAAATAATCGGGAAAATTGAAATGGAGAAAAGAAAGAGTTTACCTTGTCGAGTGTAAGAGCCAAATTCTGAATTCTTTGATTGAAAACACCCTCAGCTTGAATTTCAGCTTCGTTTCTCTCGGTATCCATGCAAATATCTGTGAAGTATTTTCTCTTTTCTTCCAAATTATGAGTTAAAATCACTTCCGGAAGCTTAGTTCTTTCAAAATGGATAAACCTTACCTAAAATATAAACATATTGTTGGAATCAAATTTGTGTTTGACTTTGACTTTGACTTTTTTCATGAATATTTTAAAAGAGAGTAAGTGATATATATACCAAACGAGCAGCATATGCAACTAGCCAATCAGGTAACCCACTAAGCAAACAACTACCAAGTCCAGCTTTACTTAATTCAATATAATCTTCTTCTGAAACTGAATTCGCTTCACAAGCTTCTAGCATCAACTGATGCCTATTTAGTATCCCATGGCATTCTTTAAGTACCTAAAAAAAAAAAAAATGTTATTCCAGTTTTTTTTTTTTTTTTTTTTTTTTAAATAGATTCAGGATTTTAAGGAATTCAGGAGCTTACTTTTTGGAAAGCTCCTTCACCTGTTAGATTCAGAAAGCTCCCTCGACAAACTTGGCTTCCACATAAGCAAACAGATGCTTCGTATTCTTCTTTACTCTGTACATCAGTAAAAATAAAAAATTAAATATTTAAAGAAATTTATATTTTGACCAAAGCCAAAGGTTGCAGAAATTTTACCTCAGTGACAGAGTTGTAGTCAAAAGTAACTTCTTCTCCATACACAATAGGGCGTACACTATATATCCCGATTTGGTACTGACCATCAACAGCTGTTACTCTGTTTTATTATTATGCATGAGAATAATTAATGATATTAAGTAAAAAAGTAAAATAGTAAATGTATTAAAAAAGTAAAAAATAAATTACTTTGCTTCACAATTTGGTCTACAGGAATGACATATCCGGCTAGCATAGTTGGCTTTATGCATTGCATCAACCACAACCAAGTCATAACCATCGCCATCCCCCTAAGAAAACATATATTGTCAGGTAAGTTTTTTTTTGAAATCATTCAAGAAGGGTATTTTGGTAAATTTGAAAATTACCTTTGGCCTCTCGAGATAAATGTTGTAGAATTCAGGTGCAGGTTCTTTACTGTCTTTTTGTAGAGCACGAACACCATCTTGCTTCTCAAACCATCTCCATGCAGGATACACCTAAAAAAATAATGTAATAAACATATATTTGAATATCCGGAAAAAGACGTGAATACCCTTGTAGTTAAATGGTATCTTTACCTCTCCCAAGAACTCCACAACAAAATCATCCTCGGTAAAACCAGTTTCTTTGTTGCAAACAACACCAAGCCCCTGAATGACAGAAACAATAAACACAGATTAAAATCAACCCAATTACACCAGTAAATTATGACGAAAGTAGAATGGTGACATATACCTTTCTATAAGCAACATAATTATCATCCGGACGACTACTCATAGCCTTCAACATATACTGACAAAGTTCAGCTATCCTTGAATCATGTCCTTCTTTAGCAGTTTTGAAAATATCCTCAATAACAAGCTTCAACGAATACTTCATAGGAGTATTCCCTGACCCAGTAAACCCCCTAACTTGCTTATTCAAAGTCCTCAACAACACATCTTCAATGAACACATGTTTATCCAAAAGATGCCAATCAGAATCCTGAGGCATGGAATCCAACAACAGATTATGCGTATACGGATCAATCCCATACACTTCCTGTTCAATCACTTCATCTCCAAGTTGCTTCCTGGGTTTATAATCCTTAACTTCCGGAAAATCCATGTCAGATTCCTCAGTCCCATTCTTCTGAGCAATAACCTTTTCAGAATAATCATCAGGCAAAGTGACTTGCATTTTTCTCTCAACATTTTCATGATCAGTCACAATCACATAATGATCAATCACTTCGTATTTACGGGTCACAGGAGGGACAAGGCTGGCTTTTGTCATGCGGGCCCCCCATTCGCGGTCATCAACCCATGGGTCCAACCCGAACCCGTCGTCTTGGGTGATGTAATCGGGTCCGGGTCCGGATTCGGATCGGGTTTCCGGGTCGGAGTTTGTGTTGGATGAGGAGGTTTCGGAGTCGGTTTCGGTTTCTTCTGAGGAGCGGGACCCGTCGTTGGAGGTGTCGGTGGCGGAATCTGGTGATTTGCGGTTTAGTTTGGATAGGCGGCGTTTGATTTCACGATCTGATGTGTATTTTCTCTCTCTGTTGACTTTTTTTGACTTGAAGGAAGTGGAACTACAGAAGCCTGGAGGAGAGAAAGAGTCGTCTTTCCAATTTTTCATCAGAGAGTCTTTTTCAATGGAGAATTTTGACCGGTCTTCTAAACTTGTTGCTAGCCGGATAAATAATGTGATGATTCGATTCATGTCTTTTGCATCTCCCCTGTTTTTCGCTCTGAAGTACCAAAAAAAAAAAAACAGTTTTTAAATTACAATTTTCGCCTGAGTATGGCTGAAATTTTGCAACTTTGGTCCCAATAACTTCTCTTGCAACTTTAGTCCCTGAGAAGAGCTTAATTTTGCAATTTTGGTCCCGAAGAAAGTCCTTTTTTGGCAAGAGGGATTAAAAACGTTACAAAACAATCAAATAAGGGCCAAAAATGAAAAAACAAACTTTTAGGAACCAATATTGCAAAAATCAGGTATACTGTGAACCAAAATATGTTACAAAGCCTGCAAAAGAAAACTTTTTGGGACCAATGTTGCAAAAATCAGCTATACTCAAGGACCAAAAATGTCATTTTCTCTTGCAGCTTTGTCCTCGTGTTTTGCAACACTTTTAGTCCCTGAGAAGAGCTTAATTTTGCAATTTTGGTCCCGAAGCAAGTTATTTTTTTGGAAGAGGGATTAAAAGCGTTACAAAGCCAGTAGATAAGGGCCAAAAATGAAAGAAAAAACTTTTGAAGACCAATATTGCAACAAAAGGGTGTACATAGAAACAAAAATGTTACAAAGCCTGCAAAAGAAAACTTTTTGGGACCAATGTTGTAAAAAACAGCTATACTCAGGGACCAAAAATGTAAATTACTTTTTTTATAAGAAAAAGAAATAGAAAATGACTTACTTTATCGCTTCCCTACACATTCGTCTAATATCATCTTTCACAGAGCTCAACCCCCGGCCAGCATAATACCCATTCCTTATTTTACCTTCAATTTCAGCAACCTGAGGAAACAAGAAAGTTGACTAGTCAAATCAAGGCAAAAAGACAGGTGTCACTAAAAAGAAAAAAAAAAGGATAAAATCATAAAATAGACTTACTTTTGGAATGAAAAATTCAAATGTATTCTCCTTCATGATGTCTTTCAAACCCAAAGCAAGAAACTCCTTCATCCTCTTATACCCATTTTCAGATTTCTTCATAGCCAAACGCCTCAACTGTGCATCTCTTGATAACATTGAAGATGACTTTCTAGCATCAAATACTTTTGAACGTTTGTATAAGCTTCTTCTGAATAACTGATTTGAAGCATCTCTTTTATCCAGACTTTCAAAATAATCCCTAAGTCCACTTGAATCCTCCACATGACTATCCCTGCTGTCATAAGTTCTGAAAATAGATGTTCTTTCTGTCACCCGTGTTGACTGTGGGGCCCGCGTTTTGATCCATATAATATTCGGGAATTTTCGGGTCAAATCTTCAAATTGATTGCAACCTCTTATGTCTACTGTTGATAAACTCGGAAGCATCCCCAAGATTTCTTCAAGCATTGTTGGAGTTATTTTATTGCATCCGCGTAGAATTAAGGAAGTGATTTTCTCTTTATTGTAACCATTCTGCAACACAAATTAAATATATATAAGTTTATAAAAAGTTTCATTTATATGTCGTGTGGATGGAAGTTAAACTGACCATTATATTGTGGAAGGAAGAGTCCATGCAATTTGAGACAGAAGACAAGTCAGCTTGTTTAGAGATACCCTTGTAGAATTTTACAACTGATCTCCAGTGCTTACATGTCAAATTTGCATAAACAAGGGATTTTATATCAGTTCTAAGGAAATGAAAAACTCGAGCCAACACTTGTCCACTAAGTAGACCCCAATTCTCATTCTTCAACACAGGTTCTTCACAGAAAGTAGCATCACCACATAAATCATCAAATCCACATTCATCTTTTTCCAATATGGATGCATCTTCTAATTCATAATCTCCATCAAATCCATCACCTGAAAAAGCCACTTATGGTAATAAGAAGAAATGAAAATAGAAAACTGAAAGCACAATACAAAAGGAGGACAAACAGATTCAAAGGAGATTTGAAAAAGTTCTTAAGAAGAAAAGAAAGTAGAATAGTATTTTTTTTAATACCTGATCTTGAGAATTTGGTATTGATGACTATGTTTTTCTCTATTTCTTTCCTGGGTTGTCTGAGATTAATCCATGGATCTAAAACCTCATTAATGGCAGCAGCAAACTCCCGACTTTTGTAAGACTTCATAATCAATTCATGAAGCTTTCCTCGAGTATAACCAATAAACTGAGGATGCAAATCATGAAATGAATTGGACTTATTCTCATCATCAACATCAACGTTTCTTGATCCTTCGTTTCCAGAGTTGACCGAGTTGACCGGGACCCACAACTTATCAAGCTTCCTGAAAACACTACTATGCTCCTGAACAACACCCTGATCAACCAAAGTCTGAATTTCCGAAAACGCCATTGGCCCCCGTTCATGACCTGCCCCATCAAGATAATACCAATCACCAAGAGGTAACTGAAGGTCGTCTTTAGTATAAAGATGATCTTTCGGCATGTTGAGGGGCATAATCGTCTTTCCGGAAAGATCATCATGGTGGTGGTTATGGTGGTGGTTGTGAGTGGTTTTCCGGCGAGGAACACTTTCTTCTGATGATCTTTTTGAATGATGACTATGACTATGACTATGACTAGGCCTTGAGGTTGAAGGGTATCTTTCTTTTCCTCTAGATTTGATTCGAGGCTCAGATACAAAAGATCCATGGTCTTTTACAACACATGTGTTTATTCTGATTACTGGAAGCATCATGCCTTTCACTCCACCTCTTATAGATAAGTTCTTGGAAGTGATCTCGTCCGTTGGATTAAAAGCCCATGATGGAAGATCGAGTCTTTTGTTATGGGAAGAATGATATAACTCATCTTTTTGATGCCTACGTGGATCTTCATCACCTGATTTTGGCATTTGGCATAAAGCATATCCATCATTGAGAACCAATTTCTTTTTTAAAGATTTATTATCTTGATTAATGTCATCCATTCTTCTCCAGTCACCCCCTTTGCATGACCACTTGCCTGAAAACCAGTCACAAGAATCTCCAAATTCGGATTCAGATGGTGTAATAATTTCTTTAGATGGAAGCTCAGGTTGAGTAGATATGTCAAGATTATCATAATCACCTGTAAAAACAATTACTTTAGTTAAAAACATGATTTTTTTTCCCATTTTGGGTTATGTCTTGAAAGAAATATAATGTTTCCTGTTCCGAAAAGATTCTTGTTAATGACATGATATTTCCATTTTTGTAGAATGATAGGAGTAGAAGAGTAGTAGACTAATTTGATGTAAAAAGATGGAGTCTTTTTTGATTTTTTTTTTCATCTTCAGATAATTTCATAAAACGATGCTGCTAATGATAACAAAAGAAAAGGTTTTATCAAGAGAAAAGGAAAAAGAAGGGACTATTTAATGTTTGGGCTAGATTTAGCAATTTGAAGTTTAGAACATAATATGACGTGTCAGGTGAGATATATTCTAAAAAGGTGGGTGACAACTAGTGCTAAATTTGTTGACCATGTTTGACCATGATGTCATTTTAAATGAGATGACAGCTACAAAAAAGGGAATCACAAAATCTGAAAAAACAGTACCTTCAGAATATCCCCACGTCTGCAGCTCACCATTCGCAAAAGTCATCTGCAGCACTTCTGCAGGAAATTAAATTAAAAAGGTAAAAAAAAAAAAAAAAAAAAAGGGAAAAAAAATAAATATTGTTGAAATAAAGATAAGAAATTGAAGAAGTTTGAGGGTAAATGAAAGAAAAAAAACAATTAATTACCAGCAACAGTCTCAAGCTCTCTGCCTGGAATCCTGGGAACCCCATCAAAGAGTGCTTCAACTCTTTGGTCAATGCGAAGACCTTGACTTTGACTTTGACTTCGATCTTCTTCGGACTCTAGCTCTTTACTTTTACTTGTTTCAGCAGAAACAGCCTCTTCACCTAACTGGTTACTAATTGGACCCAATTCACCAACATCTACTAATAAATTTCCAGGTGCTTCAGGGGGATTAACCAACTCAGTAACAGAATCAAGAAAACTGGAAGAAAAATTTGCTGTTGCTACTGGTGAAACTGCATTTTCAACAGTTACCCATCTTTGACTATCCACATGTTTGACCAAGTGATCTGAAACAAGAAAGCCTTCTTTTACAAGAATCTTTAGGTCACTTAGTCTAGATGGCCCCTGTTCTACACCATGATAATCCAAGTAGCACCATTTTCCCGTTGTTGAAATTGAAACTGATGCATCTGCTTCAGGAACATGTGGTGGGGTATCACATATATCCATGTCTTCTTCCATGGAAATCTGTTCTTCACCAGCTCCATTGACCTCCTGGGGTTGCTTCAAGTCTTCCTTTTGTAATGTTGGACGAGCATTTTTCTCATCAGAAGCATCCAGAGTGGTTCTTGTTTCAGAATCTTTAGACAAGATCTGTGGCTCCCTTGAATTCACTTTCTCTTCTTGGCTTCTACTCTCATAATGATTCTTCCTTTTTTCGCTTGAACCCGTTTTTCGAGCAGTTTCGCGTTCGGAATAACTCGGGCTTCGGTTTCTGTGATCATAATGACGATTTCGCCCATAGGGAGACCTATCGCGGCGGGCCGGGCTCCGGTCATGCTGACGTGGACGGTCATGCTGACGTGGGGACCGCTCAGGATGACGTGGACTATTATTATGCCTGTCGTAAGATGGTCTAGAAGAAAGTGGAGATTCACAGTTTCTGGAGTATCTTTCTGATGGGACATTTCGTGTAGAGAGAGAACTTTTGTAAGAATGTTCAGGGTTGTATGTGGATCGGCTTCCATCATCAGAAATTCTTCGACTTTTGTAAGGTGTGTAATCGTTGAACTCACCATGGTGTTTTCTGTCACTGATATCTGTATGAACACTGTGGCGCTTCAAGCGTTTCCCTAAAGGGAAGTCTCTTGGATGGGTTTTACCGTTGCTGAATTCTTCCTTTAATGGCCCTTCATCGTCTACTATTTTTGAACTTTTCCGTGGGGTTCTCTCTCTGCTGTTGTTTTCCCACCTTGCAGACTTCTTGGAATACTGGTTTCCATTTCTGTTGCAATCTTTTTCACCTGAATACTTGCCAGGTGTCCGTTGTTTCCATCCTTTATCTTTGGCAGAATCATGTCGGCGAGTTTTCAAGTAGCCAATTTCGTCTCTAACTACTTCATTTCT